GGCGCATCCTAGGCTCGTTTTGGACGCCCGATGTATCCAGCTTCAAAGGAATTGTTCCACTGAATTCTGCCAGTTTTCATCTTGCCAGTGTGGTGTGGATGTCTTGCGAACACCGCCTTGGTGCCTTGATTGGTGTTCAACCGTTTTTGTATTGGAGAAACCGTTCCTTTGGCAGGGATTTTTTTTTTACAACTCTTGAGCTGAGCAAAGAAAGCAATTACGTTGCAGGATGCCTATCAAATACTTTCTCTGCGTGCTGGTGCCTGCATGTCAGGGAAACGACAGCTCGGAAAGATTCTATACTCGTAGGCATTGGGGCTTGCAACCGTCTGTAAGAGGTCCAGTGCTGCACCGTCCTGGCTCTAAGTTTTTTGTTGTTGCAAGAGAGCTATTTGAGGACATCGCCTAGCTCCAGGTAGTCTTAAAATGTCTAAAATTTGCTAAACAGCTTGCAGCTAACCGAATCTGCGTGTAAAAGGGGCTAGACAGTTTGCAGCTTGGCAATGGGAGATCCCCACACCATTCAGTCCGCGACACCAACTGCCTCGAATGCCGGTGCTGTTCAAAGGTGAGTGCAAGAAGGCAAGGAGGTCTTGACACATCCGCTTCTTCAGTGCACAATTTACCCTCCCTGCGTCTGTTTTTAAATCTCAACATCTGTTCAACCGGACAAATCAGCTTGCGTGTGAACGAGCACGTGGAATCCAAATGATGAGATTGCAGGCCCGTCCAAACTGAAGTCTATGTTAGAAGCAAAGTCTAAGTCCAAAACGCTATCCAGTGTTGTGAAGTGAAGAAGACTCTGAGGAATTACTTCATGCTCCTTTCCAATGTCTGTGCGGACAAGAGCGAAAGCTTCAAAATCAAGCTTCCCCCGATGAGGAAGGGTACATTTTGGAAGGGTACATTTACGCAGTTTCTCAAGAGGTCTTGTTGTTCCGTGTTTGTCTGTTATCTCAACAATCTGGTCGATAATCTCAAGCATTCAAGTCTCAGGTCTCAGGGTGGGTCTCAAGTTAGAGCTATCTTACTTGGGACTGTCGCAGTGCAGCCGTTCTTGATGCATGTTCCACTTGCTTCAAAATAAACTGCCCAGTTCCCATCATAAACTGTAACTAGAATAAACCTTACACTTGTCCCATCCTGACAGGAGGTCTACTAGGTTGCCCTTTGCCGGATCCTGGTCCGGTCTTTGTCATGAGTCAAGTCTTTTGTTGGATACTGACTTGCTGATTCTTCAGCTTCCTGCACCAAGGGTTCATTGCAGGATTTGGACCCCGCAATGAAGACCATCCATGTCTTTTTCTTATCAACACTAACTAGTTACTTTGCAAGAGGCTCCAGCCGCCGCCACCCTGCTTTACGAATTGGTTTCTTTGAGGTCATTCATTGGTGCTGCCGGCCTTGTTTGCCAGTCTCACCACCGTAGCAGAATACTACGAGTCAGAATGTCTACCTCCTCACGTTGCACCAGTGCGTGGCATTTTACTAGCTCCTGGCCTGCAAGGGCGGTGGCCGGCCACGAATCTCTCAAATGTGATATGAGCAAAGCTTCAAGCATGTCCTATCCGTGGTGTTACTTTGATCAAGTATTTTACTTGCAGGTGTGAAAAACATACGGTCAAACTTCTTCGCTCGTGGCGCCGTGTGCGATGATCCGCAGTGTTCGAAACAGGGTCGATTTGCGGCTCATTTTGACAGGGGAATGCTTCGACAAAGTGGAGCTGAATACCTAATGGGCCTAATGTCTCTCTCCACATACAGTGACCTCTGGCAGCTACCTCTGCCCAAAGAGTACAATCCCCTTTGCTGTTCAGCAGCTCTGGCAATCGTCTTGGTAGATCTGAACAAGCTGAAGATCAGCTGCATCCTTTCTTCTATGACTGTATTTGCTGTCAATTCCTGCCAAATCCCACCAGGTGAGAAACTCAGCACGTATTGACTGCCAAATGTTCCCATCTTTTAGCAGAAAGACTTGAGGTCGGGGTGCTGGGTGACGCTCGCATAAAGTTCATTGCACATATCCTGTCAGCGTGCACTGATAGCTTCTCAGGGAAAAACAAACCTGTTGGTGTGCCAGCAGCATGCATGTAATTAACACATGGCCAACAACTATAACCAAAGTTCGGAACTGAGTCAAGCAGTACATGCTATGGACCTTGCGCAAAACATTCCTTCCTTGGTATGCTGTAGTGCAACAGGTTCTACTGACGTTCCACTGCAGCCTCACCTTTCACTGTGAATGAGTCAACATCAACATGGCCATTGATTGGTAGCTGCGATGAGCCACATTGTGACAAATCAGCGACCAAGGCAAGCTGTGGAGAAGGCTGTCACCGAGCTATGATCCATGTACCTTCTCAAGGAACATCCTGTCCAATGTGTTCGGTGCCTCCTGAGAGTAAAGAAGTGACTACGCAAGTTCCAAACATTTCTACCTCGAGCGCCTGTGCTCCACCCCGAAACCAACCTGCCCAAGGCATCTCTGGATGTGGGCTACTGGTCTGGAAAACACCATTGAGATCTTGAATGGCTCTAGACTGAACAGCCCATGAAGCTGGAGCTCTTGAGAGCTCAGGTGTGCAATTCTCTCACGCAAAGACCTTGTCCAACATGAGGAGTGCGCGACAAAGCTATTGAACATAGCAGAACTGTTGTGAGCAAGCAAACGAAACATGTGAAGCAAAGTTGGACGCAATGAACGCTCCAGCTGCCTTTGTGAGGAAGGCGCAGTGTGTGTTGAACACTGGCACTTTGCAAGTCCCTCTGAAGCTCAATGCACAATCTGCATGTCTCCAACTATCAAGTCAATTGGCTTGAGCTACAACCTGGTGTGTTTGTGTAATCAGTGCACGGACCCTCAGAAACATGGCATTTCCACAAGGGTGCAAAACAAACGAGAGTGAGAAAAAGGGGTAGCCTCATGCCACCTGTCACCCGTTCGTCAGAGTCTTGCTATGTGCATCTATGCCTGCTGCCTGCTTGATAACAGACTCTGTCCTGTCAGGACCTCGGTGCTTCAATTTCAACTGCGCCTGCGGCCGGTTCCACTGAGAAACCTCGTCGCCATGTCGCTTATGGTCGCCTTGGATGTAAGACATGTCATGACACTTGTCATGACCTGTCGCCTTGGCAAAGGTCCCGAGAAAAGTGACATCTCATGACCTTCCCCAAACAGAAACGCCCTGGTTTCGGCGAGCACCCAGGTGCACGTGCCTGCGTGCCGCGTGCACTGAAACATCACAGTCTCAAGCACCGGTGCTTACAGTGCTTTCCCCAAACTAAGCAGCTCAGTGAAGCCACTGTGCTCGGCACAAGAGCGATGTGAGAATAGCACAACTGGGGGCAGGGGTGGATTGAAAGCCTTTCTTTTTTCTCTCTTTAAAGATCTAAGTACAAGGATCAAAGACCCCGACATGCAAATTAGAGTTGTATCAATCACGTCAGCAGGCTTTAACACCTGCTTCTTTGCGTGTCATTCGGAAACTAGCCTTTACGACGGTAGGACGCTGCAATCTTCGACATAATCCTTCATACCTCTAACGACACTGGACAAGACCTCAAATGAATCTTTTCACGCACGGCCGCACCATGAAACGTTCTGGCTACTGGACACTGGACACTTGTTACTGAGGAGCACCGCGGTCGTTCTTCAGAGAATCACCCAGTTTGGTCCGTAGGACTTGGATTCCTTTTGCTCAAAGCCACAAGGACAGCTCCAGTCAGTTCAGTCTGCTCAACCTGCATGACAAAGGAGATGAGAAACTCTTGGACAAAAGTAGTGAATCGAATTCACTGCAGGAACATGATCGCCAACGCAGCACACTGACTAGAACACACTCCTGGGAAAACGCTGCCTCAAGCCATGGACCACAGCACAGCTGACAAGCATGAGCTGCATGGGCGGCAAACGGCATAAAAGGTCAAGCCTCACAGCACAGTGCTCATGGATGCTCCTGGTATAAATTATCTAGCGCAGTGAAGGAGTCTTTGCATTCTGGGCAAGGTTCATCCGCCCATGCCCAAATTAGAGAATCTTGGATTCCTAAGGGCTGAGCTCCAACTCGGTGCGCCTGTGCACGGTGTGCCTGTTGGAAGACGCCTTTGCCTGCACATGGTCAGTCAATGATTTTTTCCAAGCTCGGATTCTCTGAGACGATCTGAGCGCCTGGGTTGAAGACCAGACTGCTACCATGGCGGCCACGGACTGATCCCCTTGCTGCGGAAACAAATCAAGGGACCTTGTGAGCACACCCATCAAGCAAGTGACGACAGTTCTTGTGAAGAGCCGGAGCACCTTTTTGCGGCTTTCGCAACATGCTCTTCGAACATCCTACAGCGCGCTTGAGGACGGCTACCTCGTTGCCTGCGAGTCATGGGTATAGCTGAATTGCACCATGCAAACTGGCAAGAAGTCCACGAGTGATCAGGGACATCATCTCACTCATAGTTATACTGTTGTACTATGTTGTACTGCTCTTAAGTCAAGTGAAGCCACAAAATGTTGGACCCTTTTTCGATCGATGCTAATACCGTCTTTGCAGCTAACAGGCTGCTGCGAAGCAGAACTAAATTCGAGACCAAACGCCTGGCAGTTGGAAGTCTGGCTTTGCCTTTCATTGCCAACGAGAATCTTCTCAAACTGAACTCCAGAACAACATGTGAATCATTTGGATGCACATTCTGTGATCAAGTTGAAGCTACGAACGACATTTCCCAAAGCTGAGAGCCAAGGCAGCAGAGGATGCCCCTTTCAGGGTCGGTCACTGTACAATGCCCGAGCTGTGTGGAACATGTTTGCCCGAGCGTTAAAATTCCGCACGGATGCGAGTGAGTCCAGTTGACTCGATCAGCCTTGAATAGATTGTGTCAAACGAGAGTGGACGCGTGGCACAACTTCACATTAGTTGAGGAGCTTTGAGATTCTTAGTTTGATCGGACGTTTCAAGCTTTTCATGAAAAACACTCTTAAAATGTCCTTTGCAGTCAAAGATATTCAGCTACCTGACCAGCTTGTAGAAGTAAACACCCTTGTCCGCATCGGGCAAGGGGAAGTCCTTAAGGGCAGGAATCACAATCAATCAGCATATACTTTCGAGAAACCTATACTGACTTTACAATGTGATTTGATTTGTTTGAGCTTGAGCCCACCTGTTTATCCATCCTGCACAACTCACTTCTCATCCTACTTTAAGCTTATTACACCCTGACATGCGGAGAACTATAGAATGCGTGCGGAAAACTATAGAATGCGTACGAATACGGGACCAAATACTGTAATTAACACATCTACTGAACGTTGGATCTTAATCGATGGCCCCCTCAGAAAGATGCAATTCCGGAATGTTGAAACATATGTATCCAGTGGGGTCGATTTATCAGAGTAGCACCAAAATCGAGTGTCGACCCTCAAGTACCGAGCGTTCGACCGCTCTTTCACGAAAAAATGCCAAATCTCTGTCAAATCATGTCAAATCTCTGCGCCAGTGCAGTTCCCTTCACAACCCTTTTTCACACATGTACGGAATCCTCCCCGATTCTTCTGTGCAAATCAACGCGGCACACTTCCGAAAAGCAGTCTGAGAGTGTCCTTTGTAGCCTGCTGTAGTGTCGCCTGTGCTGCAGGCTGCAAAGAGATCGGGGCGCACTCCTGCACTCACCCACGTTCTGGTGTCGTCGCTGCAAGACCATCTTTGAACATGCACTTTGAAGGACTCAGGACAGTGAATATCCGTTCTCTCACCATGCCTTGAAAACGTGACTTGCCCCAAGCAGCAACGAGCGGAGTCCAGCCAAAGAAGCAGGGCCTCTGATCAAAGCATGTGACATTGGGTCCTCATCCTGAAAATGCTTCAAGCACTGTACAATCAAGGATCCTAAAGGACCTTTAACAATCAAATTCTATCTGGACCTCAGCCACTGTGAATCGACCTCTGTCCAAGGAGCTCCGGATTTTTGCCACAAGCAGCACTACACAACCAGGTGCAGCGAGCCCTTCAAGAGCCTTCAGCAATGCAGAGACATCTTCGCCTCAGCAGGGTCCAACATCAACAGGCCATCTGGTCTGAACACAGGCGATGATCGGGGGCGTGCATTGGGAGAGGGAGAACCCTCAAGAGCCTCAGGCAAAACGACAAATCAACTGAGAAGGAAAACCAAACCAAAGGAGGTTTCCCTATAATCAAAAAACACACAAGGGCCCTGCAGGCTACAAACTTGCCGTGGCGCTGTACACGACATCGGTTGCAATCACTGTGGAGGCACCGCGGCACTCGAAGGGCACTGGATCAGCCCAGTCCCAACGCTGACAGGAAACCCCGAGCCCGCTCTCCTGCGGTCACGGGCCGTCTGATGAACAATATCCAATATCGAGTTGAAACTGCATTGAACACACACACACACACTTCTATATATTATATATATATATATACTTGAGAAGGGAGGGGACGAAAGCCAGCCTTTGTAAGAAGACATCAACATGGCAATGGGGGGTGAAGTCGAGAGCGCACTGGAACAGTGTCAAGAATGGGGAAATAAAAGGCAGAGGTGGAGAGTCGTAGTAAAGGTGGGGGAGTGGGGTGCCCCTCCTCTTGTTACTCAAGGGGCGTTGTGAAAATAAAAGGGCACCCCTAAGTAACGGAGGGTTTTGGTGTGCCGTTGCTTTGTCTTGTGTTGTAGATAGACTCATAAAGTCGGTGTGTTGTTAAGAGTGGACCGAGAAAAGGTTACTGCTGAGATCACGCGAGGTCGGAGGAGAGATTGTTGGTTATGGGGGGATGTCGACATAGCATGATGCTACTGCTGTTGGAAATAGAAAGCAGAATGCATGGGTTAGGGGGGATGCCCTTTCTTCGCTCGATTCAAGGGCGTTTTGAAGATGAAAAAGGCACCTGTAAGGAACTCAGGGGGTAAAGATGTCCTGTAGATGGACTCAGAGACTTGGCGTGCAAGATCAAATGCACATGCTTGGCTAACACCGGGCAAAGAGAGGGGGTAGAGATAGACAGTAAAATACATAGGTTTGGGGGGGGCCCTTGTTCGTCCTGGTTTAAGGGTGTTTTGGAGGTGAAAAAGGGCACCCCTAAGGAAGTGAGGGGCGCTTGCCTGCTGCGTGTTGCCAAGCAATGCGCAAAGATGGCTGTGGGGGGCCCATGGGCGAGGCTATCGGCAGGCTTTCGTGGGGATACATATATGTGTACACACACACACACATATATATATATATGGTACCCCCCCCCCAAAACCTATGTTCACCTCACTTTTGCTGGTATTTGCAATATTTTGTGTCTATTTTTGGTTGCCTTTTGGTCCTTAGTTTTTTGGGGGTACCATATATATATATATTTTTTTTTTTGGTGCACGTAGGTTGCATGACTTGTTAGTCCACTTTGGAAGGAATGCATTCAGAATGCGTTCAATGCATTCAGAATGCATTCTTGATCAAAACTAAGATCCAAGAGCCAAGATTCCCACAAGACTCCTGGCTAAAATCTTGGAAA